CATTGGGGACTTCGTTACATCTTGCAAGGAATTAAGCCCAGGACATTTGAAGAACTTGCCACCGGTGCTCATGATATGGAGTTGAGCATGGCTTCTGCGGGAAACGAAGGGTTGCCCATCTACAAACCTCGCAACGGAAGAGATAAGCAAGAAGTCAATAAATGGAGCAAGTTCGTACCCAAAAATGAAAGCAAAGAATCCATGAATCTCAATGCCTCTCCTTTGAAGTTTACTACCAAGGCGAGCAAGAAACAGAGTATAAAAACAACTTCCTCTCAAGACAATGCAAATCGGAAGTTGACTCTGAAAGAGATGCAAGAAAAGGAGTACCCATTTCTAGACTCCAATGTGCCTGCAATATTTGAAGAACTCCTCGAGTTAAAGCTTATTGAGCTGCCAAAGATGAAGCGACCAGATGAAGCTGGAATAAGCAATGACCCGAATTACTGCAAATACCATCAGCTTGTAGGTCACCCTCTTGAGAAGTGCTTTGTTTTCAAGGACAAAGTTATGGATTTGGCTCGTAAAAAGAAGATTGAGCTCGAAGTCGATAAAGCAAGCACAAACCATGTGTCCATTATCTTTGGCTCATTCGATCTGATTGAGATATGCACCTGTGAAGGGAATGAAGATGAAGAATTGTTGGAGGATGACAAAGTCCGAGTTGATCAACCTGATGAAGAAGGATGGACCCTGGTGACTCGTCGAAGACGCCGTAAATTGAGTCTGCAAAAAGGATCAATGAAGCAACCTACGAGGAATAAGATGGTGAGAAGACTAAAGAAGCTACAAATTGTTAAGAACCCAAATAAGGAGGAGATAGAGACACACCATCACCAAAAGCCACTCCACCCGGTGACTTTCGGAGAATTTTTGCCGAGTTGGTTTCGCACAAGGATTTCTGACGATGATGACAAGGCCTTGTGTTGTAATGCTAATAAAGAAGAAGTGGAAAAGAATGAAGTCAAGTCAACACTCTCATTATCACTGTCTAATAGTCTTGTTGAGTCCTCCTTCCAAGAAGCAGATGTCTGTAATACAAAAATCACCTTTACTAAAGACGATCTCCTACTTGGTGAGACACCACACAATCGCCCTTTGTTTATGGTGGGTTATGTGCTAGAGAGGAGGATAAACAAAATCTTGATAGATGACGGATCTGCCGTTAACATTCTTCCCATTCGCATAATGAAAGAACTCGACATCTAAATTGAAGAACTTTCTGAAAGCCGACTGATGATTCAAGGATTCAATCAAAGAGGACAAATGGCCATATGAGCTATCAAGCTGGAAATTGCCATGGGAGATATGCAATCAACTGCATGGATGCATGTGATCGATGCAAAGACTTCATACAATTTGTTGCTTGGCAGGCCGTGGATACACGAGAACAAAGTTGTCCCATCAATTTACTACCAATGTTTGAAATATAATAAAGATGGAGTCGAAAATAAGATAGTTGCTTATGACAAGCCGTTCTCTGAAGCCGAGGCATACTTCGCTGATGCAAAGTTCTACTTGAAGAACCACATCATGATGGGAGTAAAAGTTGATGACATCAAGAAGGCCAAAGGCATGAAAATAGCTCCTTTATTTCGTTACGTCCCAAAAGTGAAGAAAGATGAAGGAGAATCATCAAGCCTCCAAAAAGGTGCGCTAAGAGAATTAACCATTCCTATCAAGCAGATTGATACCATAATGTTATCTTCAAAGCTACTGGAAAATTTTGTGGCCCCTAACATGCTTCAAAATAAGGCACTCCCTACGAAACGCACAAATGAAGGTTTTGATCCGAATGCTTACAGGTTGTTCGCAAAGGCTGGATATGATCCCAATGAACCATCTAAGCTAGGGAAGCTCCCACCTGAAGCTACTAGGAAAGCAAACATGATGAACGATAATGAGCGTGCGGTGAAGCAATCACGTGAGGGTCTAGGTTACAAACAACCCCCACTAGTTCGCATCTCCATTAGAAGAGCAAGTATTAACTATATCACGATGGAAGATGAACCCGCTGATCCTAATAAAAGGCCTTCTGTCTTTGATCGACTTGGAGAACCAACTACAAGAACTTCTGTATTTGAGAGGTTGGGGCCATTAAAAAGGAAGAAGAACAAGTCCCAAAGAAATCATGAAAAAATAAGAAGACCTTTTCCATCTAGAGTCCAAAGTATCTCCAAAGAGTGTCAAAGCCTGGTCCCTTCCAGAATGAGGTGACAATCAGAACTTTTGATTTCATGTGGAGAGGTACTCAAAGTGAAGACTCGCACAGTGGTCCATACTAGAGAGCGTGACGAATATGAAGAAAGTGTAGGATCTTCATATCACATTACTGCGAATGAGGAGCAATACACTTCATCCCTAAGGAAATTTGACGAATATTTGGGAGATGCCTCTTAGTGTGGCCATATATCTTTTAATGATGGTGATCCTCAAAAAGACGAAGATGTCGAGGACGCTCCTGTGGAACTAGAAGAAGGAATTAAAATGACTATTGATGCATTGAAAGAAGTCAACCTTGGCACTGCAGAAGACTTCAGGCCCACCTATGTAAGTGCCCTATTAACCACAGATGAAGAAAACACTTATGTGGAGATACTCAAAGAATATAGAGATGTCTTTGCTTGGAGCTACAAAGAGATGCCTGGTTTAGATCCTAAGTTAGCAGTTCATCATCTCGCAGTCAAGAAAGGAGCTCGTTCAGTTAAGCAAGCCCAAAGACGCTTCAGGCCAGAATTGATCCCATCAATCGACGCCAAGGTCAATAAACTCATCGAAGCTGGTTTCATTCGGGAGGTTAAATATCCTTCATGGATTTCAAGCATTGTTCCTGTGAAGAAGAAGAATGGCCAAATTCGAGTTTGTGTCGATTTTAGAGACCTCAATAATGCATGCCCTAAGGACGAATTTCCGCTCCCCATTCTAGAGCTTATGATTGATGCTACCACCGAATACGAGGCGATGTCTTTCATGGATGGATCATCTGGCTACAATCAAATACGTATGACACCAAAAGATGAAGAACTTACTGCGTTTCGCACTCTTAAAGGCATTTATTGCTACAAAGTAATGCCTTTTGGCTTGAAAAATGTTGGCGCCACATATCAAAGGGTAATGCAGAATATCTTTGACGACATCCTCCACAAGAATGTGGAATGCTATGTGGATGATTTAGTGGTGAAATCAAGAAAGAGAGGAGACCACTTACAAGACTTAAGAATGGTGTTCGAACGACTCCGGAGATATCAACTCAGAATGAACCCGTTGAAATGTGCCTTTGGAGTTACTTCTGGAAAATTCCTTGGCTTCATTGTTCGACATCGAGGGATTGAGATAGATCAAGCCAAAGTTGAAGCCATCTTGAAGATGCCCGAGCCCAAAAATATACATGAACTGAAAAGTCTATAAGGAAAATTGGCGTACCTTAGAAGATTCATCTCAGATCTAGTAGGGAAGTGCCAGCGGCTCATGAAGAAGGGTATATCTTTTGAATGGGACCAAGCTTGTAGCAATGCATTCCAAAGCATCAAATCCTACTTGATGAAACCTCCAGTTCGGGCAGCCCCTATACCAGGAAAGCCATTGATTCTATATATTGCATCCCAAGAAAGGTTNGAAAGCCATTGATTCTATATATTGCAGCCCAAGAAAGGTCAGTGGGAGCCCTTTTGGCCCAGGAAAATGGTGAAAATAAAGAAAATTCCCTCTACTACTTGAGTAGGATGATGACCCCAAATGAGCTAAAGTATTCTCCGATCGAAAAGTTATGTTTGGCGTTGGTTTTCGCAATTCAAAAGCTGAAGCACTACTTTCAAGCTCATGTCATCCGTCTCGTCTCAAGGGCAAACCCGATCAAGTTTGTTATGTCAAAACCCGTCCTCAATGATCGATTAGCAAGGTGGTATCTCCAATTTCAACAATTCAAGATTGTGTATATCCCACAAAAAGCTGTGAAAGGACAAGCTTTGGCAAATTTCTTGGCAGATCATCCAATTCCTGATGATTGGAAGTTGACTGATGAACTACCTGATGAGGATGCGATGGTCATCGAAGTGCAACTACCATGGAAAATGTATTTTGATGGTGCCGCACATCGTGAGGGAGCTGGTGCAGGTGTTGTGTTTGTCACTTCTCAAGGGGAAGTCTTGTCATATTCCTTCACCTTAACACAACATTGCACCAACAACGTTGCGGAATATCAAGCACTCATACTTGGGCTTGAGACGGCCGTTGATATGAGACAACTCCAATTTTTTGGAGACTCTGAGTTATTGATCAATCAATTTCTAGGTAGCTACGAGGTCAAAAAGCCAGAATTGCATCGTTATTATGATTATGCGCAGAAATTGATTGGATGGCTTGGCAATGTAACTCTTTAGCATGTGCCAAGGAAGGAAAATAAGAAGGCTGACACCCTAGCTACTCTAGCTTCAACATTGACTCTACCCGGCCAGACACAAATCACTATCTGCCAAAAATGGATAGTGCCGCCAGATTAGAACAAGGATGAAGAAAGCATGCTCGAGCATTTGGTAGCCGTCACTGAAGCTTTGAAGGTTTATTGGCGACAAACCATGATCGACTACTTATGTTATGGGATACTTCCATAAGATCCCAGAAGAAAGACTGAAATTCGTCGGCGTGCCCCTCGCTTCCTTTACTACAAAGACACTTTGTATCGAAGATCATTTGAGGGAGTTCTCTTGCGTTGTTTAAGGGAAGATGAAGCAACTCAAGCTATGCAAGAGGCACACTCTGGAGTTTGTGGATCACATCAATCCGGGCCGAAGCTCCATTTCCACATTAAGAGGATGGGTTACTACTGGCTGACAATGGTGAAAGATTGCTTAGATTATGCTCAGAGATGCAAGGCTTGCCAGTTTCACGCAAATTTTATACACCAACCTCCTAAAATGTTACACCCTACCATTTCATATTGGCCATTTGATGCTTGGGGATTAGATATTGTTGGACCACTTCCAAAATCTTCTGGAGGACATCTATACATCTTGGCCGCAACTGATTATTTCTCAAAATGGGCAGAGGCCCTCGCTCTCAACGAAGTGAAGAAAGAGAATGTTGCAAACTTCATTCGAGTGAACATCATATATCGTTTCGGCATTCCTAGTTATATAATAACAGATAGTGGAAAACCGTTCGATAACAAATTGATGACCAAGATCAGTGAACTTTTTGGCTTCAAGCAACGCAATTCGTCAATGTATTATGCTGCTGCAAATGGACTAGCCGAAGTATTTAACAAGATGATTTGCAACTTGTTAAAGAAGGTCGTCTCCAAGTCTAAAAGAGATTGGTATGATAGAATGGAAGAAGCTTTGTGGGCATATCGTACGACTCATCGCACGCCGACACAAGAAACTCCTTATTCTCTTGTTTATGGAGTCGAAGTAGTTCTTCCTCTTGAGTGTCAAATACCGTCCTTGCGACTCGCTGTCCAAGAAGGTCTTACCGAGGAAGAAAATGCTCGCCTACGCCTTGAAGAACTTGAATCCCTTGATGAAAAAAGGGTAGAAGCTCAACAAAGTCTTGAATGTTATCAAGCTCGTCTTTCTTGTGCTTTCAACAAAAAAGTTCGCTTGAGGTCCTTCCAAGTTGGCGATCAAGTTCTTGCAGTAAGAAGACCTATTATCACCTCTCGCAAATCTGGGGGCAAATTCACTTCAAAGTGGGATGGTCCATATGTTGTGCAAGAAGCCTATTCAAGTGGAGCTTACAAGTTAGTTGATGCAGATGGCATGAGAATTGACCCTATCAATGGGAAATTTTTGAAGAGGTACTATCCTTGAAGAATAAACGCTCCTCGACGCACGAGCCTAAACAGCAAGTCATGAAGCTCCTTAATGCACGAGCCTAAACTGCATGCTGCTACGCTCCTTGACACAAGAATCTAAACTGCATGTTGCAATGCTCCTGGCCCGCATGAGCCTAAACTGCGAACATCACCCGAAAAAAAGGAGTCCGCTAGGTCGAAAACCTCGAAAGAGGCGGCCTAGGCAAAAGTTAGGACACAAAAAAACTCACCTATTTTGAGCTACGTTATGACTTGATCCTCTTCACCGAGGTACGTAGGCAGCTTAGAGTTTTATTCTAAGTTCAGTCGCATAAGCTTCAAAAAAAATGTGTGGAATACATGATCTGGAACTTTGACTAATCCAGAAGGTCTTATGCCGCAAAGATTCCTATATGCATGCGAATCTGGAAGTTCACTGCAGTCGCGTCAACTTCGCGAATTTTCTATTAGTAGACCGAAAAAGTTCTTCCATAAAATCCATAGATACTTCAGGTATCTGAGTTTGCTTTCTAACGGCACGGACGGATTGCAATTCCGACACTCGAAGCTCAAGATACAATTATTTTCGCCGAAGGTATGCAAATCTGAAAATTCACTGCAGTTGAGTCGACTTCGTGAATTTTCTGTTTACAGTCCGAAAAGAGTTCTGTTATGAAATTTATATGAGTTAGATCTCTGGGCCTTCTTTCTAATGGTATAGACGGATTGCAATTCTGACAGTCCAAGCTCAAGATACAATTATTTTCGCCGAAGGTACACAAATCTGAAAATTCACTGTTGTTGAGTCGACTTCGTGAATTTTCTGTTCACAGTCCGAAAAGAGTTCTGTTACGAAATTTATACAATTTTTAGATCTCCGAGTCTATTTTGTGACATCACAAACGGCTTGTGATTTGGATGCTCCTATCTCGAGATGTGATTTATTTTGCGCAGAGTAGCAAAGCTGTTAGCTAAACACGGGCCAGACGTGTAGATCGACTTTGAAGATTAATTCCAGCTGATACAAAAGGAGATTCGTGCTAATTTTTTGATATGCTTCAGTCCTATGAGTCTAGTTTCGGTAGAAGCAAGCGACCTATGATTTGAAGTCTCCTACAGAAAAATATGAATTCTTTTTCGCGAAACAACAAAACCAACATACAAGACATATGCTAAAATTTAAGAAGGAAATAATTGGGAGTAACAGAGGGAATCCAGGTCTCAAAGAGAAATATCACATATTAAAAAAAAATAAAGATACTTTTATTGCTCCAAGACATAAGTACTCCATTACATGATATTAGTTATAAAAAAATCGCAAGTCGAGAATCCTAAGCAAAAAAAAAAGAGCAAAAAAAACTCTAAAATCATGGAAAAGGTTTGAAGCTAAGGATTTGCTGGCGGCTTGTCTCAACTGCCCCTTTCAGGAGGGATAATTTCTCTGCTTCATCGTCAGATAATGGATGATTGGCTTCAATGGTATAAATCTCCCCTTCGGGAACGTCAACATTCTCTTGACTTTTAGCCAATTTCACATGTTGTTTGTCCAAGAGTGCGACGATCTTCTTCTTTCTGGAGGCCAAGGAAGCTAGTTGTTGTTCAACATTCGCAAGACTGGCTTGAAGTTTTTCTACGGACTTGCTCACTTTTTCATATTCCTGTTTTGCATCATCGAGGCATCATCGTGCATCAGAAAGTGACTCTTGGTGAAATTCTTTAGTCATCTTGGATGATCTTAAAGCATCGTAATCTGCGTACGTCTTGAAAAAAGCCTCGACAAGAGCCTCTAAGGTAGAAGTATCAATAACATTTTCTTTCTTAATTTTCTCAAGACTCAAAGCAATACTTTTCTCCAACTTTGTGAAGCTATCCAGAGAATCAAGAGAAAACTCTTCGATCTATTCACACAAGGTGTGCAACAATTGTGTTAACAAAAGAAAGTTTAATACGGGAAATAGTCTCTTGTGGCTTAAAGTTTGGAGCATCAAGATGCAACGACCATGGAGTAGGCTCAAGGGTTTTAGACGTTTTGCTTGACTTGCGGCAACCTCCATCTTACTCGTCATGGCTGGCTTGGAAAGCACAACATCTTCTGGAAGAACGAGGTGCGGCTCTTTGGGTAGACTCAAATCTGTCGACGGAGCATTGTTTGCAGCATGATGCTCAACACCATCAAATAAAGTGTGAGGACTTTTTGCGGCCACACCGAGGGAATTTGGGCTTGTAACACAGTTTTCCACCATGTCTTCACCAAGTACGTCATCATACAACTCATTGACGCCCAACTGCAAAAAAAAAAAAATAGCAAACTTTAGTGTTCAAAAAAAAGGGAGTAAATTTGAAGGAAATAATATTTACTCGTTTCTCCAGTTTAGACAACGACATCGTTGAGCTAGGGTCACCCTCTACGAAAAATCCAGTATCGATACTAAGAGCATCCAAGTTAGCAAATTCACTATGGCTCGTGTCCTTAGCCTTCTTCTTTGAATGATTCCAATGTATGTCGTGACTAACATCACTCTTGTTCGAACTGGAAGTGGCACTAACATTCAAAATCTCATTGGGCAAAGCAGAAGCTTGAGTCCTTTCCTCGTTTGTTGGCACGACGTTGGCTGTC